GAGAAGTAGCAAGCATTTCCAGAATTTAATCTCCTCCTAACTTCCTCATGAGTGTCATTTTGATTTGTTATTGTTGTTTCCAGATATTTGAACTTTGTAACCCTTTCAAAGGACTTATTAAAGACCCTAAAATAATTTTGCCAGCCTGTCTGCTGACGACGAGATACCAACATGTACTAAGGAAACCATTCTTTTATAAACTTACAAAGCCTTTGTGGAGAGTGGTACTAACACTGTGGGAATGTGATGTCCTATTTTATGTATAGCCTTCTTTGTATATGGAATTTTATTTTGCTCAGTTATTCCATGCTAACTTTGATTTTATAAAAGAATATATTAGTTAGGAAATAATGGTTATCCTCCTATGTGTATTGTATCTTTCTGTTTGTATGTGATTTCATGTATTAGATATTTTTCTATGCCTACATGCCCAATATCCTTATAACTACCAATTTAATATTAAACCCCATGCCTGTCATTGCCGTAACCTGTATCTTTGTTCCTTTGTTCCTTACAGAAATTAATTATGAAACTAATGTCCTCTATTTTCAGGACTAAATGATGCTATTATCATATGAACTCTAAGTAAATATTTTGTATCTAATTTTATATTTGTAAATATATGTGTAAATGTGATTTTAACCAGACTTGCTTGTCATGTGTTTTGTAATATTTTGCATGTGTGGTGAATAAGGTGATAAATTGAGTAAAAGTCATTTAATTGCTATTGCTTTGTGTGTGAAAAATTATAGAACACAAATCCATTAAGGAACCACTGTTTTATTCAAATTTCAGATCTGATGATATTTTGAAATTGTCAGGTTATTTTTATTTTAACCTGTTGTTCAGTTATGTTACGAAAACAGATGTTTCTCTTTATTTGCCCATTTTTATTGTTGATAAGCCATGAATTATTGGGCTGGACTGTCAGCAGATGACAGAAGAGCTTATGCACACTTACATAATCACATATAGAAGCTGTATGATATTTTAGGTTGTAACAACAGTATGGACTTCTAGGTAGATTCTAGTGTTCTTTGGGCTGAAGATGGAGGAAGTATGTTTCTGTGAAATATTGGTATCCACCTGTAAGTCCATATGGCATTATAACAGAAGATCAACACTGAGAGATGCAGAAGCTTTTCAGACAGAAGAAACCAGGATTTCTTAACAAGATATTGTGTTCTTAGCTCAGGAAGAAATTATAGATAGAAGAAAGTACTCAGATATTGATATTCTGTCTTATAAAGCATGAACGAGATGTTTTGGAGGCAAAATTCAGCGGGCATTTCTCACCTAAGTCTCTGTCGGTTCACTGCTAAATGGTTCTAGCAGTCAAATCAGGATTGAATAGAAATTGTGCAGATTTAGTGGACTTGTCACTCACTACTAATAAATGCACAATTCAGAGACAAAGAAACCTCCCACATCGGAGGAGGCCAAGGCTTGACTTTGGGCTGTTGTGCTATAAGAAGAAGAAGAAGAATTAAGCTTGCAGCAGTGTAATAAGTACATACCAGAGTCATCAATTAACATGTCAACAAGTGAAATTTGCAAAAATATTCCTGCTAGCTTGTATGTTTGTTTGTGTTAGTTGGCTGTCTGTCCATCCACATTGAAGAACCCGGGATTGGATTTTCATCATATTTGTTAACAATGCTCACACATTTGCTGAGGTCATCAACGTCAAATATAAATATAGTATGATTTTGTAATATTAAATGAAAAGTTAAGTTAAGAGAGTGACTAATGAATAAAAATTTTCAAGGAAAACCATACAAAAATCAGCATAGTTTGTCTGGTTACAATACCTGTCATCTTGATTTATGAAGAAAGGAACTGTTTGTTCTTAGAAATGTTTAATTTAAAATCGAATGCAAAAATAAAGAACTCTGTTTGTTCGTATCCTAAATTTTTCTGTTTCTGGTGGCTGTTGTGAGTGTCTGTGAGGAAGGTGTGAAGAAATGAAAGTGACTGATTGCAGCTGTTGTTCCAATTTGGATTGTTTCAGACAGCTGATTGGTGGAGCCTTGCTCTTTTGACGCACGAGATGCTGTCAAGAGCTACTCCTTTTGAAGCAGAAAGAGAAAACAACCAGCAGATGATATTTGAGTGAGTCTCAGCGTTTGGAGAGAGATTGGAAATTTATGTTTCATAAAAGTGACAAAAATGAGAAACCTTCTTTGAAATCTAATTTGAGATGTATCTTTCTAATGGGGAAGAGAGAAATTAAATCTTCTTTTGCAGTTAAATTCTGAAAACAAATGTGATTTTGCTCGAACACCTCTTACCAGGAGTGGCAAATCTCGTAATGAGTGACACCAAAATACGTTCAGGTGATGTAAGAATGAGTTCCAAGGAAAATGAGGCATCCATTTTACACTGTTTTGTTTTCTTCTGCCCACAACTGTTACCATAAAATATAAATGTTTAAGTTCTAAACTACTTTGTTTATGGTCCCGATTATCGAATCTAAACAGGATGTAAGGAAGATCAGATAATTAAAAATGTCTGATAATTCAGAGAACTGAAGAAAGAGATGAGGGTAGCACTCATATTCTTTCTAAAACCAATAATGTTGGCATTCTGAAGAAACTGATTTCACAAATGGAGAAGGGCTCGGTCAGGAAGTGTAATTCATTCTGCTGCATACTGAGTTGACAGCTGATAAAATGAAGCATTCTGAGATATCACGCTTATGAAATGGATTGTCAGATAACCGAAAGTCAGATAATTGGGACCCTACTGTATTAATAAGAAAACTCAGTGCACAGTTTTAAGGCTTTCAGTAAAGTTTCTAGATATTATTCTTTAACATAAGTAAATAAATGAATAGAGTGTGGTTTACGTTCCTAGCAGAGGACTATCTGTAGGGTGGGGTGAGTGTTCAGAAGGCCACATTTTGACATTATGAAGCATAATATATATCATGCTGAACAAATTAAGCATCCTATAGATAGAAAATAAATGCATAGCATATTAGTTTAATTGTAATCGTGGGATAGAGACAAGAAAACATGCGTAGTGTAATGTGACCAATCTTACAGAATGGACCCACATAGACTGCTTTACTCAGGCCCTGTGCCCCTCTGGGAATGGCTTCTCCTAATGAAACATCTCATGTGCAATAAATCTGGAAGCACTGGCAGTAGTTACATAGTAGAAATTCACTTACAGTGTTAGGAAGACACTGGAAAACTTGCTGGGAGGTCAGAATTTCAGAAGACCATGACCGGACAACTTGAAATGTCCCGTCCACTAAATGTGACATAGCGAAACACTTACAGAGAGCTCTACAGTTATATTTACACAGAAGACTTTATTTCATGTTCCTTGTACAAACTCTCTTGAAAATTGAAGGGTCTTTTGAACCCAGGGGTTTTTGTGTCAAGCTTCATTCTGCACTAAGCTCTCTGTTCCATACCATTAATGCTTCTAATTTATACTACAGGACACCGGGGTACTTCTGCCATACTTCCTGCTTCTCGATGACAGCATTGTCGATGATGATGAAGACCATTTTGGTGTGGATGCTCGCCCTCAGTTACCAGGCACTCAGCCTCACAAGACTGGTGGCACTTTCAAGGTCAGTACAAAAATTTGCAACATTATGTGTTGGATGAGAATAAGGTCTATCTCTGGACGTTCTATTACTTTTAGAAACGGTGCTGAACCTGAGGGCCATGTTGTTTAAAAGTTACATAATAAGGTAAATGTTGGTGTTCTGATTGGCTGATATTTGTGCACTGTAACTCTGGTATGGTGCACAAGGTAAGATTCAACATTCACATTTGGTTCATGCATATAATAATTTTCATGACTGTGAATTGCAGACAGTGATATCAATAACATAATGGGTTGTTAACACCTTGTAAGTACAGTCTTTTGTAGAAACTGAGAATTTGCTCAGCTGCTAAAGAAATTAGACATGTCTAACATTTTTTAACATATTAGAACTTTTCCAGTGAGGCGCTTGTAGCACCCCACCTGCCGTCCAATATATCTGTAGCTATTCTATATCTGGACGTCCTCTCATTCCGCAGGATATTGGCCGTGACATGGGATCCACTTAACATGTTGAAAATGTTTAAACATACCTTTTAAGAAGGTAGCTGTCCTGTGGGTTGTAATGCCATCATGTGGTAGAACATTACAGACGTTTCAGAGGTGTTTGCTACCTCCGTCATGAGGGAGATGATGATGGATGAAATGTGTGTAAACTTCTACTAGACTACATGGCACAGCAAACCACAAGAAACACATTTTCATACTCATTGCTGTGTGGACCTGGAATTATATGTTGACACATCTATGTTCATATTGTGAATTACACGGGTGAGTGAGGTCGGATGATGAACTCTGAGATAGACTGTATTGAACATTCAGAGTTAAACACAACACAGAGAGTTGTTTAATTTTCATGAGCTTAGTCTTTGTTTTACAGTGAAGATAAAATTTTATCGTCATGTTTTCAGAGACATGACATTTTTCTTGTCTTATAAACACTTGAGTAAGGACATTTCAGTACATATTAATGTGACTTGTATTATATGTATTGCAGATTTTCTCATTTTGTCACCTTCTCTGGATAAAATCCACTAGCAGCACCCATGCACAATCCTACATTAGTTTTTAAGCTTGGATCTGATATATGCATTGCAAATTATAATGTTGGGGAATGGTGCTTATTATTTTTCCCCACACAGTCAGTTATATATTTTATTACTTATGTTTGATAAAATACAAGAAAGTAACAAGTTACTTATTATATAAATGGCTGCAGGCTTCGACCATATTTAACCATTCTCAGGCTCTACCAAGAAGTATTAAGGAAAGGATTATGTGTTAGCTAGTGTAATTTTGCTTGTCTGCCACGGTAATATACATCAGTGATCAAAATAATGTGATATGTGATAACTACTGTCCACAGATGACGAGAAAATCCCTGCAAGGGGATGTCGTTTCTGGTGCGGTGCGGGGGGAATGTTTACTGCCTGGTGGACTAGAGGGCTGCTATTGGTGGGAAGTGCGATACGTCAGAGTTTAAGGCTGCTACACACAGACTGAAAACATCAAGCAGTTAAGAGTAGAGTGTAGTGAGCGCACCTCTATATGTTCTGCGGTGTTGCGATAATATTCTAGATTAAATCACTGTGCCACTGTGAGGTAATCTTAAAGCTGTACCCATTAGAACACATGAAAGCCTGTCGTCTGTTGTTCGTTCAGGGGTTGGGGAACGAATGCTTTTAGGATGGGTTGTCACTCGCCACGAAATCTTGCGCATGTGCGTTTAACGAATTCCTAGCAGGGATTTTCTCCTGGTTTGCGGACTGTATATTACACAGAACAGATTAAGATTGAAGATACATTTAGTTTATATTTGCAACCTTGAGGGTCCCTGGAATATACTGTTTTCCCTGTAAATGCGGCAGAGTGTGTGTTGGACAAACTGACAAAAAATTGGGGCTTAACACCAATGGAGAGCAGGACCAAAAAGCACAAACTTCTGACTCTGCCCACCAGCTGTGATTGGCCAGGGTCCAACCATGAGCACTGGCCGGGCAGGTGTATATATGAGAGACAACCACAAACCAGATAATCTGGTTACATCAGAATACTCATGATGGGAACAGAGATGGTCCCTGAGACATCAGTTTCGTTTAACCACCTGATGTGGCAGATCATCTGAAATTTTTTTATTGAATTCTCAATTTATTCCCAAAAGCATAATTCCATCATGGCAGGCTGTATTCATCAACTGACCTAAGACAAAGTTCACAGCTGCTTGGTTCATGCCAGAGCTCGTGGTTAGTAATTGAATTCTCAATGTGGGAGCCTGGGTTGAAACCCAAGGCAGTCCATGTGGGATTTATGGTGGACAAAATGACACTGGGACACACTTATCTCAGAGATATTTGGTTCACTCAGACACTAGGTTATTATGCGTTGCTCTGCATTATTTGTGGGCTGTAATATCAGGTTTCTATCAGATGCATTTCCAGACAGGCAGTTTCTTCCCTCACAATAATAGTAATGCAGAATGTTTCAATATTAAAATCAAAACATTACGCAATTAAAATCAATAATTTAAAATATAGAATGGCCTGTGTGTTGTATAAAATCTATTATTGCCATGTGTAATGTAGCTCTGATGTTTCTACTTTATCAATCCTAAAGAAAACTTGGGACCAGCTTTACATGGATTCTTATCAGATGACCATTTATTATTATCATAAATTATTTTTCGTGTCTGTTTGTATACAGTTGTTCCGTTGGCCCAGTGTGTGTTATTATCAGCGGTGTACCGATGTTCTAGTTCTGTGTTAGCTGCAGTGATATACTGCGATAATGGGCTATTTCCTGGTGTCCTGACTCGTTTTCTACCTTAATCATTTTAATTATTGCAATAATAATTTGACAGTGCCCATAACAGATATACTAACCAGCCATGTGGACGGTCACACTCATTGTCATTCTGCAAACCCTATCTCACTGGGAGAGCGTGCAGTTCAAATGCAGCCGGGAAGAAGTCAAGCAGTTTACCCAAAGTCTTACTAAGTATTGTCTCAAACTACAGTGAACAACTAATTGAGTAAATAAAAGACCAGGGAAGAGCTAAATTGCCATGTATATTTTGCTTTATTCTTGTGCTCCATTTTCTTACTTGAAAGTCACTTGTGTTTGGAGTTTAGTATTTAGGGATGCAATTGAAACGCAGCCAAAACAGGTCACACCAGACTTGAAATTTCCTGGTAGTCTTACTGAACCAACTCTGGTTGCTGAGTTCATCATTAAATTATATTCCAGATAGACTATTCCTACTGAAGCAGGTGAAATGTCCACAGGTAAACAAGCAACTGTCAACTGAGGTCAAGGTGTGACTAGCAGTGAGTTGAAAAAGATTAGTTACAGGACTTAACAGCAGGTGGCATCTAAGTCAACCGGAATGGACTGGATATTTCTGTTGAATGTGAAATGCAGATTGCAAGAACAGTTGCTTGAAACTTGAGTTGTCATTATAGTGTGAACACTCCATAAGAAGTGTGAAGTGTTTTTTGAGCAAACAACTGCAAGGAACTGACTGCTGTTTTTTTCTTTTTGTGAACAGAATTTGAACTCAATGGTGTAAGAATCAAGTGACCCACTTAATGTGAACCTCTTGCTGCACCATTCAAAGACCAGGTGAGATATCTTATTTAATTTTAGAAGCAATCTACAGTGTAAGACTAATGTTGAGACTAGTGGGGTGAAGGAGGAAGGAGAAAAGATAGCGTCTGCCTTTAATGCTTCAGACTTCCTGCATTCCTTGCAAGTCTCAAGATTACAGTTGCATACTATACTTACATCATCCGTTAACCAACATTTCTACAATTTCATATGTGACCAGTCAGTGGAACTCGGTATTGATATTCTAGATTGTCACATCATGTAAATGTGCAAGTAAATGCTTACATTTGAGAGTTACATACTGCCTACATCATAAGCTGTGTTGATGGAGTAAATGCTTCTTAGAAGCTTGTATCTCCCTACAAGTTTGCACAGCATTTTCTCCAAAAAGATTGGCTTCGTCCTCAAAATGCTGAGACCCCCTCAAATTTATCATAGTGAAAGTCCCTCTATTTTCTGTACATCATTTGAAACTAATGCACCTTCAAGGTGTTGCATAAAAGTGTACTGCAGTCTGGAATCTCACATTTACAAATATGAAATGTCATTCCAGTCTCTTCCTGTGTCAGATGTCCTTCCAAGGACATCTTGGCTGTTTCAGTTCCAGTAGTTATCTTAAAAATTTCTTTGGCTTTTTATTAGTTTTGTTAAAACCATCAGTTCTTAATATTTTTCATTCTCCGTTAATTTCAACTGCCTGTATCACTACTTACAGTTACCTCAACAAACACAGTTGCAATATTTATGGTTACAGCAGTCTCAAATCACATTTATCTTCTCTTAGTTTCAGTTGGTGAATATAGTGACTGAAATCACAACGTTCATATAGTTGTGTGTCATGCGCTTTCAACTGCCTGTATCACTACTTACAGTTACCTCAACAAACACAGTTGCAATATTTATGGTTACAGCAGTCTGAAATCACATTTATCTTCTCTTAGTTTCAGTTGGTGAATATAGTGACTGAAATCACAACGTTCATATAGTTGTGTGTCATGCGCCGGAATGACAGAGAAGAGTGGGCTATTTATTTCAGAGTACCCTTAGTTTTTACCCAGTAATGTTATTTTGTGTTACATTGCTTAATCTGTTGGTTTCCTGCATTCAGTGTTATGGTTTATTTACAACAATATCAATAACTCGGGATTATGTGGCTTCTTGTGATAAACTGATCAGTGAATGATGCACTGTAAATGGTGTACAAGGAAGAACATTTTACATCACTTAGGACAATATCCAATATTTTCACTGACTGAGGAAAACCAGGAACAATCCATATGAGTATAGCTGTTGTCTGGACTGAGATTGCTTCAGTGTAGTATTCAGACACATTTAGTATAAATGAGATTTTAATATTGACGTTCCTTGCATTGTTATGATGCAGCTATGAGTTGGGCTGTGAACTATATAACAAAACTGGCGTGAAGGACACATATCTAATGTGAGTACCTGCACTAATAAATGTATTAACTCCCCAGAAAGGTGCTTACTGAGCAGGTTTACTTTAATATTTTGGCACTCAATGTTTTCTCACTATCTCTCAGCCTTTGCCCTTAAGATTTTACTTATA